AGTCTGAACTCAAGCCTCATTCAAGTCTTTTCCTGACTTCATAGCTCTCTTCTTTTTATCACTGGATTATATTGTCTGGATGTACCACAGTTTGTTTATACATTCACCTACGAGGAACATCTTGTTTGCTTCCAAGTTTTGGCAATAACAAATAACAATAACAAATAAATAACAATAACAAACAATAACAAATAAAGCTGCAGGATTTTGGGTGAACTTAAGTTTTCAATTCATTTGAGTGAACATATTTGAGTATGACTGCTGGACTGTTGTATGAGAAATCTATGTTTAGCTTTGTAGAAAACTGCCTAATCATCTTTCAAAATGGGCGTCTGCTTTTGCATACCCACCAGCAATGCGTAAGAGTTCCTGTTGTTCCATATCCTACAGCACTTGGTATTGTCACTGTTTTTTATTTTAGGCCTTCTAATAGGTGTACAGAGAGATCTCATTGTTTTAATTTGCAATTCCCTGATGATATAAGATGTTGAGCATCTTTTCATATGCTTATTTGCATCTAAATATCTTCCTTGGTGAGGTGACTATACAGATCTTTTGCCCAGTTTTTAATTGGGTTTTTTACATATTATTGGATTTTAAGCGTACTTTGTATATTTTGGATACTGATCCTCTATCAGATATGAGTTTTGTAAATATTTTCTCTTATTCTGGGCTTGGTTTTTCTTTCTCTTAATAATGTCTTTCACAGAGCACAAGATTTAACCACAATGAAGTTCAACTTACAAATTTTTTCTTTCAGGGATCATGTACCTAGTCATTGACAAACCCACGGTCACCTATAGACTCCCTTATATCACCTAGAAATTCTAGTTTTGCATTTACATTTCAGTCTAGAATCCATTTTGAGTTAATTTTTTGAAAGGTGTCAAATCTATATCTAGTTTTTTTTCCCCATGTGAATGTCACACAAAAGGTTGGTTTATACTTTAAAATTGCGGGGGGGGGCACATAGCTCGCTCAGTTGGTGAAGCATGCAGCTCTTGATCTTGGGGTTGTGAGTTCAAGCCCCACAGTGGGTGTAGAGATCATATAAATAAGTAAAGAAAGAAATGTGGTTTGTTGTTATTTTTTGGTGGTAGTGGTAGGGGAGGAAGGAACCTTCCCCTCTACCAACACACACGTTGTGTTGTCTGTAGGTTGTTTTTCTCCATCCTGGATCATCTTTGCCTCCCTCATCCCCCTCACCTGCAATGAACTTCATCCATCCATATTAATCTATTTAATCTTACTTAACACCAACCTCACATTTTCACTATCCACTTTTTCCAATATTCTGACTGGTGCATGTACTCAACATGATCAGTTAATGGTTGTTGAACTCTAAAACCACTTATGAGCTATAAATCCCATTTAGCACTGCCATATACCATTGTCCTTTCTCCTTAGCCAGACTACAAACTTGTGGCGAGGCCAGGAATCGTCCTGTTCTCATTTACCCCTGGTAGCCTAGCAGAGGTCTGGGCACAAAATAGGTCAGCAATATTTGCTGACAATTTTAGACTACCTGGGCTTTGGTCCTGACTTACCAAGTGTCTTTGATCTTCAAGAGGGATGGCTACACTTTAGGAAGTCCAGCTGAGGACCTGCCAAAATGGAAACGCTGCAACCTTGCCCTGCCATGGCCAGAATAGTGCATCTCTAATTTTGATGCCCAATTTAGCATTATGCCCACACAAACAAGAGGGTCCTGATCTCCTTAGAGAATTAGGAAAGATTTACCAATGAGATAGCAAAATGTGGTCTCTAAAGTACCGAATGATGCTGAGTCACAAAGCATGTTCCTTTCATTATGATGGTCACATGGTCATAATGACCACTCCAGTCATTCTGAAAACAATGAAAAACAAATGAATGAAATAAAAAGGAGAACAGACTGTTTCTGGTGACTGGTTCCCTACCTCATGCCCAATTAATAATCAAAGTAATAATAATCCCCCACCATCTGACTCTGTTTTCTGTTTTCATCTGCATCGTTAAGTATTCCTACTCAAGGATCTCTGTGTAAGTCAAAGTGAACAATGATAGAGGGAATGAAAGTGTCCAGAACTGAGGTTGAGACCCCAGTGGTCTCTGATGGTTGTGACTGAGCCCAGTCACCATGGCATACTGTGCTCCCAGACCTTTCAGAATTCGTTTTCTATAGCCAAATACTGCAGCGTCTATTTCCCAGGACCACCTAGCTTCTGTCTATGGCCCACCCAAGCAACTGTAGGCAGAAAAAAGAAGGGAGGCACAAACTTGGATATGGCACATTCAGGGCCTTGGGTCTCAGAAATGGTCGGCAAAACTCCCGCAGAGCTCATGGCGCCTTTGGGGTGGGCCTCCGTGAGGCTACGGCAAACTCTGGCATCAGTGCCAGCAGCAGCATTCTTTCTGCCTCAGGAGCAGCCTGGGGCTCAAGACTCACAGGTGCCAATCAGGTGTTCACTCAGCCTGGAAGGACAGCAGACGTTTTGGCAATATCTACTATCCTACCTCTAACTTTCCTTGAAAGTCAAACAAAGTACAACTGTTCCTGGCATCACTCTTCCTGCCCTGGGAAAGCCTCCAAATTCTGGAGCAGGCAAGGAGAGTCCCTATGGATGGGGGTCACTGGCAGAGTGACCCCCAGTGTCTTATGTAAAACAAATCACATCTAGACAACTGAAAAACAAAAACCTCAAGTCCCCTCTTCTAGGACCTGTTTAAAAGACAGTGTCCTGCAATTGCACTAGTGGGTATTTACCCCAAATGTTCATAGTACCCAATGTCCATAGCAGCAATGGCCACAGTCAACTGTACAGAGTCAAGATGCTCTTCAACAGATGAATGAATAAAGAAGATATGGTCCATATATACAATGGAATATTATGCCTCCATCAGAAAGGATGAATACACAACTTTTGTATCAACATGGATGGGACTGGAGATTACGCTGAGTGAAATAAGTCAAGCAGAGAAAGTCAATTATCATATGGTTTCACTTACTTGGGGAGCGTAAGGACTAACACAGAGGATATCAGGAGATGGAGGAGAAGTAAGTTGGGGGAAATGGGCGCGGGAGACAAACCATGAGAGACTATGGACTCTGAGAAACAAACTGAGGGTTTTTGGTTGGGGTGGGTGAGCCTAGGTATTAAGGAGGGCACGTATTGCATGGAGCACTGGGTACGGTGCATAAACAATGAATCCTGGAACACTGAAAAAAAAATGAAATCACAAAAATAAATAAATAAATAAATAAAAAATAAATAAAGACATTGCCCTCTTTTGTACCATTTAACCACCAAAGCAGCCTCTTTAGACATACCATACTCAGTGGTAACTCAGGGGGCTCCCAGCTGCTAAAAACAAAGATGAAAGAGGGGCGTCTGGGTGGTTCAATCAGGTAAGCATCTGCCTTTGGCTCGGGGTCATGATCATGGAGTCCTGGGATCAAGCCCCACACTGGGCTCCCTGCACAGCACAGTTTGATTCTCCCTTTCCCATTGCCCCTCCCCACTGCTCTTTCTCTCTCTCTTGCTCACATTGTTTCTCTCAAATAAATAAATAGAATCTTAAAAAGAAAAAACCCACCAAAATTAAAGACCATTAAATGGTATTGCTGGCAAAGATCAGAGGACAGTAAGCAAACTGGGCTAGAAATTCAACCTTGCTCATGCTGAGCAGCAAATAACATCAGTAACTGACAGGTACAGAAGTTTAAACAAAATGGGGGATAAAAAGAGAGAGATATAAAAGAAACCAGAATCTTCTTTAAGTGGAGGAAAGCAGGTAAAGGAGTGCTTGACAAAGCCAGACAATGAGGGATGGAAATTCCATACGCAAGTCTCGCCATGGAGAAGCAGAAGAGACTCACTGCTCATAAGCAAAAAGAGTTTTCCCAGTACATAATTTCATCTTACGTTACCATTTTCATTTGCGGTAGAAGTACTCCCTAAGTCCATTTTAGAGTTCTTCTTCCCCTATGCCTTAATATCCCCGAGTTTCTTCTAAGGAAAAAATTGTTGGTCCCATTCTGCAGATCGGTAAATATCTTACAGAGATAGAATGGCAGGGTGTGACCACACAACCACCGCCCGGAGATGGGCAGGAAAAGGCTCTGATATCCTGGTGTCTCACCAGAAGCAACAACTGCCCTGAAGACAATCTGTGGCTGAACTTCGAGCTATTTTCACTAGAGAAAGGCAAAGTCAATTCTGCTCTTCCGAAGTCTTATACAATCACAGCCTGAGAGTCCAGCTGTTCTGGTCATGGCCTTACATTCTTTCTGTAAAGACTCTAGTTGACAAGATTTATTTGGTGGTCTGAAGAAGCATGCTAAGCAGTGTGGGAGGAAACCACAAGGGAGGACTTTCTGGCCCTAGCACAGTGAATCTAGTTTCTGTGGAGGATTAGACAAGCAGCCCCAAGCTGCCTGTCTCAGCTATGGATGCTTATCACCCAAGGGTGAAGCAACAAAAGTTCTTCTCTTTTCTAGTCTCTGGTATGTCATCACAGTTGTGCTAAGGTTTGAGGATCTGAACACTGTAAGGGCTACTGGAGGGCTTTTCTTTCTAGAAGTGGACACAGAGGTAGCACTGGACATATTCCACATCATCAGGGAGAAGGGAAACCAAGACAACATAAATGAGTGAAACAGACTTGGCTACTGATCTCCTGAGTTGCTACAGTGCCTGGATATTTTATAAAACTAAAAGAAATCGCTTTTCATGCCCAGCAGCCAGCACAGTCAACAGCCATCACCAAAGCCATCTCAGCAGGAGGGTAAATCAAAGATCACCAAGGCCAAGAAGCAGTATGTTAAGAATAATGATTCCCCTCTGAGATGATGATGCTCAAAAAATCCACAACAAACTAGCCAAGCTCCACATTTAGAAAGAAGGTTAAAATCATGTTCACGGTACAATGCTCAAAGTCAGATGGGGCCAGAGCATAAAGTCTGGGCAGGATGGTTGAGCAAAGCCCTACCATGGAAGGCAGTCAGAAATCATACTTACAGTGAGTTGGGCCGGGTGGGTTTGAGCACATCCAGGTCTGGGTCACTAGAGTTCATGTTGGGCTGTAAGCTGCTGCTGGAATTAAGGATGCTATTTGCATTTGATGAGACAACAGATTCCAAACTGGAGTTGATGATGCTGTTTCTTTGTTCCTCTGGAGAAAAATAAAGCCAAAAACCCCATATTACTATTATTTCATAGGGATAGTTTGTTTCAACATATATAAAAACCTACCAATAATGAGAATGGATTGAGATCTCAGCAAAGCTCAGAAGAAGACATAGGAAAGATAAGATTTACAGGTGGGAAAGGAAGACGAACAGGTGACTTACAACTTTGGAGCAAACCCACCTCTGTTCAGCCTGATGGGTCAGACCAGGCATTTTCCTAAGAGTGACCCTACCACCACTGCACCATAAATTTTGTTGTTCTTTTGACTGGTAGATGGGCAGAACATAGAGTAGCCTTCAGAACGCCCTTGTATTTTGGTTTCTGCGACATTCACCTTTTATTCTAAAACTCCTGCCCCCAATATGGTCTTAATTGTCAAGACCCTGTCCTACCTCCAAATCTATAGCACCTCACCATAAAATATCTACTACTTGGTCATCAACATCCTTATGACTCTGCAGTCTACACTCCTGACCACTCTCAAGACAAACCCTCCTGGGTTGCCTCCAGCTCCATGTAGTTGATGTCTAGCTTCAAGTTAGTTCTTTAAATAATAGATCTATAAGGGCTACAGAGTTGTCTGCATATTAAAAAACTGAGTCCATGGTCTACGTAGTCACATTAATACTTGGAGAGTATTACTAAGCCTGGAGGGAGGAAACCTGAGTTCTCTTCAAGATTCCACCCCTGCCTGTCTGAGTGGCCTCAGGCAGTTTTCACTCTGTTTCTTGGCTAATGCATCTACAAAATGGGGAGAATGAGAACTGCCTTGCACAGCTCAAGGAGTTCATGAGGATGAAGTGGGTTCATATGCAAGAATGCATTTTGTAAACTTCAGAAGACTGTTCAAAGTCAAGAACTTTCTGTTTCTTTCCATCTTTAAAACTTGGAACCATGTGCTGAAGAAAACATTTTTGGGATAATTTAGCTAAATGGCACAGGCACCACTGCTGTAGCAAAATAGCAGAGACTTTTGAATGTCATTCTTGTCCCACATTCATTACAGATACACCATAATGAAATCAGCTGATGCTGTGGGCAATCAATTCACTTCTCAGGAAACCCAGCCTATGTGGGTTACTCCTCACTGGAACTTTGAAACAAGCTGGAGATATACCATGTCCCTAAGACAGACTAGACTTACTGACATGGTAGTTCAGAGGGTGATATTTGAATTCTTCAGGCAATAAAGGGGGTGATGTAATTAAAAAAAAAAAAAACTTTTCCATTTGTACTAGTCATATGCATAAAAATTTATCATGCTTATGCAATGATGTTAGAGTAATCTTTACATTTAATACACACACACACACACACACACACACACACACACAACCCCCAACACCCCAACACCCCTAATATCTTGGCAAATTCTCTATGCCATGCTAAAATCCTATAGAAGAGTCAAAAACTCCATGAGGCTATTGGGAGATTTCTCAACTCTTAAGTAGATTTTGAAAAAAGTAGATTATTAACTTGATTCCTGGGATTTGGAACTATTCATATCACAAGAGCTTAAGTTCCAAACAGGAACAACAAAGAAAGAGAAACCAAAAGAATTACAATGCACCCAGATGTAGGCAAACTAACAGGGACTTTGAATGGGAACTTGCTATCAGGAAGAAAAACAACTCTAAAATTACATAATTAGGGGATCACTGAGAAAACGGATATGCCACTTACCAGTATGAATCAGTGCAAAATACTCACGTTGAGATTTCTGAAAAAGACTGAGAAGCCCAAGACCACCATATAGGAAAGGGCACTCAACATACTTCTCTGGGGTTCAATGAAGACAATTTCTGCTCCCCAGGGAAGGAGAGGTGAATAGTTTTATTAACTCTAGTCTGAAGCCAACTTTTTTGCATGATGTAATTCTCTGAATTCACAGGAAACCTAAGAGTATAACCACAGCTCATATTTCTCCTGTGATTATATTTACTTGCCCTTAAGAGGACTATGATTCTATAAATTAAAAACAACACCTTCCTAAAAACATGTTAGTTTTTCTAAAATATTATTGGGACTTTTTTTCCCCCTGACTTACTACATTAGAAAAAGAGATGGAAGTTTCTTCAATTTTCATCTATTCAATGAATACTCAGTGAGTACCAAACACATTCCCAGACAATAAACACCCTTACACTAATTCCTAGGTGTTTTATTCAGATGTATACTAGAATATTTATTAGTGACTTGCACATACTTATTTGTTCATATGTCTACCTTCCTTGGTAGACTAGGAGCAACCTAAGATTGAACATGTGACAGATAAAGCTTTGAAATCACAACTGTAAAAAAATTAGATAAAGATGCTTTCCTTTACATAATAACACTTTATCAGAATCCTAACCTCATATAAGAATCTGATTCTGTAAATGGGATTTGGGTAAAATTTTTGAGACCATATCTTCTGTTACAGTATTACAGACTGGCTTTCTCCATGAGCTAAGCAAGGAACACTACTGCATATGGAAGGTGACATTTGTCTGAAATGAACCCACACAAGAATGAGGACGGGGTGGACAATGAGAACCCAACCCTGCCTGGCCTGGAAAGGCCGCAAAAATTAAATGGTGGCTACCCCCAAACTGAACTCGAGGATTTCTAGCATTTCATTCAGTGGAGGACACTAGAACTCTTTTTTAGGAAGTAAATCCTTTTTGAGATTCTATTTTGACCTATATTTAGGTATTGTGGGCCTGATACATATGGCAAAATCTCTAACAAAATGACAACAAGAGCAAAAGATCAAGGAAAGGTGTCTTTGTCCAAAAAGAAAAAACACAAAAAAAATTAATCATAAAATTTCATAGTTTTGCAGTCAAGATGGCCAAATATACATCTAAAGAGTCAGACTCTTTACCGGTATGACTCAATGGGCCACATGATAAGGAAATCTGGAAACCTGGCACTCTCAGACTGTAAGACCACCACAGTTTTATTGGACATGAGACCACAAATAGCGAGACTGAGAACATCTAGGTGGATAGGTTTCTGAGCTGAAATGCTGACGATCCCTACTGAGGGTGAGCAGGACAGTGAGAGTCATTCCAGAGAAGAGGTGGAGAGTAAAATCCACAGCAACTCACACATTTTAGTGGTATGGCAAACTATACCAAGACAAATTCTAAAGCATTTGGCATGAATTAAGAAAAAAAGAGAACATGATTCAGTAATGTCAAACACGGGGATCTTTGTCAGGTGGGCAGCAAAACATAACGAGAACAGGCAGCCTAAAACATTATTTAAAAAAAAATTAAATTAACCAAATTGTTCCAATACCAGACCTGGACTTCTCAGAGACACTGATGATTCAAACCAGGTCTGGCATCCTCATCAGAAGGTATAAGAAAGACTGATGGCAATTACATTGCTGAAGAAAAGGAAATTATAGGCTAGGGGACTGAATAAGAAAAACAACAACAGTTATGAGTCAAAGCAAAAGGATCACAGAGAACCTCTAAAATGACCAAAAGAGAAAGAATGTCCGCAACTCAGGAGTATTCCTAAACTGGATGAAGTTAGTGAGGATGCTTGGTTTCTACAAACATGTTTGTCAACAAGAAACTCTCTTCATTTTAGTCACAGAAGACAAGAGCTCAGAAGCAAGGAAATGATAAAATAAATCCCCCAGCAAATGTAAACATGTATGGGTAAGTGATGAATGTTTTCATGAACACAGTTTCTATGAAGAGTGATAAACTAGATGTGGTGCTAGTGATGAGAAATGCAAACTACTCAGGGCAGGGGCACGTATGCCCATACAGAATACCTCGAGCATCTGTTACAGTGACCTGCGAGGTCGGCATCAGTCACACGTTCATGGCACCTGGCCCATGTATAATATACACTAAGGCTCCATGAATGGTTACAAGACAAATAATAAATATAAGGTGACAATAAGCAATGAAAATGTATTCTGCTAGCACAGAAAGAGGCAGTTCCGAGTGACTGAATTTTCCAGGTGGTTCAGACAGGGACCACTAATGTCCTTGAAACCAAAGTAATGGTTACAGTGGGCAGAGTCTGTGTTTTTTGTACAAATCAGGAGTGGAAAAATATGACTATGCAACCAAATCACTGCAACTAAAAAAAGAAAGCCACAGAATAATTTTGGTGATATTGTACTTGTTCTGGGGGTTGCCATGGAAATCTGGGAGCTAAGCAACTTCACTTTCCATATTTACCAAGTGACTCCTGCTCACTCTAATGACAATCCCTCCCCATCCTCACACCCCGCCCCCCCCATACAAAAGGCAGGGTCTCTGTTTATCACAGAACCCAGAAACAAGGCCAGGAATGTGCATGCAGAACCAAACCGAATTCACATGTCTCGGCAAGCCTCAACACTCTAGCCCACTGAATACCTAGAGTGGGAGGATAAATAGGAAACACAGACTTGCAACGTAACTTCGGGGGAGATTTCCCACCACGCACGGACGTCCGTCAGAATACGGACTAACATCATCTTTCCATGATGTCTGAGACTAGCTGTCAAAAAGAGGGGAGAGAAATGTTCTTTAACAGCAGCTCATGATGCCTCACAGAGCCCTAAGGAGGGAACATGCTCTCTACATGATCAAACAGGGAGGAAAGGGAGTTACCAGACTGACGGAAATTCTGGAAAGACACAGGCTTGAGACAAAAAATATTAAGACAAAAGCAAAATACCCAGAGGCTTTCCCTTGCTGTGGTACGGAGAGAGGTATACTTTCTCCTGCTTATTAAAGTTTTGCAATGAAGTCTGTAATGTATCATCTTGACAAGATAGGATGATAATAGAATGGCAGCTTAATGAATTTTGCAATAAAAAATGATGAGTGCACAGCAATTTCTGAGTTTACCATCTCTGGGAAACACCCAAGTACATGAGAAGCTTGGAAAAAGATTTTCTGAAGCAGTATTTTTTTTTCTCGGTAGTTTTCGTTCCTGATAATAGTGGCGTGCCAAGCCACACTAAAATCTGAGGTGGAATGATTT